GGGCACTTCATGCTAATTTTTTCTTATATTTAGTCCAAGCTATGTAAGTGTGCTGCTGCTCTTTGTACCTCTGCAACTCTGTGGTTTCATTACTCTGGCAAGTATCAATTTATTAGTCCTGCAATCGGAGTAAACCTTTTTAGATGCCTGTGGCTCTTTCTGCTGTTAAGTGCTCATATAAATGGTTCAAAAAAATATCTGCTCAAATATTGTGATACTGATTTTTGATAAAGAACTTGTAGCTTATTCTAAAACTGTAATAAGTCTATTGGCTTGTACCTGTAGAAGGACTTGTATGGCTTTTAGTCCAGTCGAGGGTAAAATGCTGTTGTTTGCATCTTCCACGCTTTGTGCTTATGGCTACCGCTAATGAAACAGTCGTGAGATGTTACTACTCGTGTGATAAGCTTAGTGGAGTCGTTCTGCCAATGTTCTGTACAGCAGAGAAGTTTGTGCAAATACCATTATTATTTGGAGATGAATGTAAAGGGTCTTTCAAAGAAAGGAACTGCTGGGAGCATATTGAGGACAGGATTCTTCTCACCAAGTCTGAGACATTTACAATGGAGATTTCTAGATCTTAACTGATCACCCGGTGCCAGAGGAACTGGTGGCTTTGGGGCATGCTTAGTCTTAACTGCTTTTAGACATCTGCTTTAGGAAAAGTGGAATTACATCCTAGGACACCCAGACTCTTTTGACTTTACCTGCATTGCTAGTAAGGATATCTCTGCATCTACATTGCGTTCATCCAGATTTAGTGAGATAAGTCCAGTAGATGGTGAAGTCCAACAACGCAGCGCTCAGAATCCTCAGCGCTGCATTTGCACGTGCCCGGGGAGCTTCCATCATGGCGGGTCTGGTGACCCTTTGATGTGTAAGTGGAATTGGCTGTATTTCCAAGCCTAAGAGGGGACAGTGAGGCATATTTAATGGACATGGGGAAAACCAACATCTTGAAATAAAACGGTCAGTTTCATTAAAAGTCATGCCAGAAGGAGCAGGCTCCTTTCTCCAGTAGCTCAAAGAAATGAGGATTCCCTCCATGTGTGGGGAGTGCAGGCAAGTGCTCTCTGTGCACAGTGGTTCACATCCATGTATCCTGCTACATCTCAAGAACCTATCTTAGTGCTTGGGTGTAAGCTCTTCGGGAGTGGGAGGACTCTCTCCATTTAAAACTGTGTCACTTGACAGTAAACTGGGCAAAACAAAATAAAATTTGATCTGAGATTATGCCCCTCCTTTGAAGAGGGGAGCCCTAGGCTGCTGCACTGCTGAGAACTATTTCTACATTTCGTGCAATATTCGGTTTGTTTGATCTTGTGTGTCCCTTCTCCCAGGTAAGTGATTTAATTGCTTCACTACAAAATGTGCTCTTTGCTGTGTCCCTCTGACCAATGCCTTCTCCCAGGCTGGAGAAGATTAGGTCATACATAAAGCCTTGGGCTGTCATTTTGCACCACAGAGAATGCTAAAAGTAAATCTTTTTTACTGTTTGCCTTTATCTCTCTTGGTGTGGCATGCCTTTTGGCACTCAGAATGGCAATTATTAGGAATTTGTTCCCAGTAATGAATAGAGAGTGTTAACTCCGCGGTTAATGCCAAGCAGAGTGATGAGTATGCTTGCCTCCATGCTCACTGCTGACTTGCTGACATCTGAGAAAGGTGGTTACGTACCCTTGGTGTTCAATTTGTGCTAAAATTGTAAAAAAAAAACAGTTTGGAGGCTGGTAAGCTGTTTGGGGGGCTAAGGAATGACTATAATATATGCAGGATGAAAATAACTTGAGATTAATTTCTTTCTATAACTCAGCTCTAGCAACACTCTCTGAAGGAAATTTAATACATCATCTTTGTTGTATGCGAGATCTGTTTTGTTAAAAGTAGGGCAAAGTTATAATAGGATTTGATCACCCTGACTGGAGCATTGCAAAGAAGGGGCCAGGCACTAAACCGTTGATGCTGAAATCAGGAAAAAAGCTAGTTAGTTTCCCTGACATTAAGGGAACGGATTTTTAGAAAGCCGTTCATTGATATCTGACAAACAGCTTGAAAGGGATGCCAAAACCTCAGGGTTTCTGTCATGAGCCTTAAAATGCATTTGCATATTTTCTGCATAGAAACAGGAGCTTGCTCTCTGTTGCCAAACTGCAGAACTAAAAGGATGCAAAAACTCTTATCTAGTCCGGAGGGCTCTGAGGGGGAACTTCACAATCAGAATTCAAATGTGTGCCACAGATTAGGAAAATTACTTGAAATGGGATTTCAGCCATATCTGAGAGAGACGCACAAATCCTGAGCAGATTGGTAGGCAAAATACTACCTACACTGCCATTGAAAAGCTTGTTTTCTTCTCTGGGCATTTCTCATGTGAAAAATAGCTTGCTGACGTCAACTGATCGCACAGATTAATATTGTTAAAGGTTCTACTGCTTAGTTTTATTGATATCAAATGCAATTTTTCTGAAGGTTTTTCTGTCTTTCTCAAATTGAAAACAATATCATCGTGAATAGGGTCAGAGTGATGGAGTAATAAAGAAATGATGGTCCTCTGCCCTCAGCCAGTGCACCCAGTGGTCTGGTTTGTTTGCAATTGAATGTCCTTCCTAGCTATACCATTTACTGTGAGTTGTGGATTGACCAGGGAGTCCTCAGGCCTTGAAAGAACCGCAGGGTACCTTGCCAGGACGGGCAGCTCTGCTGAAGTGCAGAACCTGTGATGGTGTGAGCTGGGCTGGTGTTACTCCCGCTGGTGGGCTTCGGCTGGGAGTTTGACCAGTAAGTGTAGCTGTGTGGTCCACACGCAGATACAGTTGCACTGGTCCCTCTGGCATCCCTCATGCTGCTCTTATGCATGCTGTGTTTGACAAATGGTTTCCTCTTATGATTCCACATTTTATTCTTTTATTTCAGTGAAGGAAAATGTTTGCAAAGACAACAAAGCATTTGGGGCCAAGATTGTATCTAATGTGCAAGTGAAGTTTTTGTTGGCAATATCCTCCATATCATGGGCTAACTGTGCTTTTATCATTTTGAGAAGGAAGCTGATGACTCCAGAGGAATTTATGGTGGGTGAAAGCGCCATACAATTTTTAGGATATAGGTTGAGTCTCCAGTCTTCCATCCACCCAGGCAGTAATGTGGGTGGAGTTCTCATTAGTATTAATGGAGAGTTGCCATTGAAATTTTCCATGCATCAAGCAAACGATAGACGTATACATGGTATTGCCATTAATCTGATTGGTTCTGGGTTCCTGCAGCGGATGTGGTGAGTAATGTGTCGATTAATAGGAAAGGCATAGCTTGCTCTTTTCATGAATGGCTATATTAGTCAGGACTCTGTGAAGTAAACAACTAATAAGAAAATCAGCATTGATACAGTTAGATGACAGCCCATAATGGTGATGATGTTAGAAAATAAATAAATAATCTATGACTTGTTACCACAGAATCACAGAATGGTCAGTGTTGGAAGGGACCTCTGGAGATTATCCAGTCCAACGCCCCTGCCAGAGCAGGGTCACCTACAGCACGTTGCACAGGACGGCATCCAGGCGGGTTTTGAATGTCTCCAGAGTGGGAGACTCCACCCCCTCTCTGGGCAGCCTGTGCCAGTGCTCTGCCACCCTCAAAGGGAAGAAGTTCCTCCTCATGTTAAGATGGAACTTCCAATATTCAAGTTTGTGCCCGTTACCTCTTGTCCTATCACTGGGCACCACTGAAAAAAGACTGTTCCCATCCCCCTGGCACCCTCCCTTTAAGTATTTATGGGCATTAACAAGATCCCCCCTCAGTCTTCTATTCTCTAGACTAAATGACCCAAGTCCCTCAGCCTTTCCTCATAAGAGAGATGTTCCAATCCCCTAATCATGGATTTGTGCAACACTGGTGGGGTTTTAAAACTGTAGAAAAAGATTGATACTATATGTTCTTTAGAGCTGTGGCTCTGTTTCTGTGTGATGTGACTTTATATCTCTTTACCCTTCATTTTCAAGGCTCACATGACAACACAGGTTGACAGAGGTTTAAAACACAAAGAGTGTATGTGGCTTCACATCACTGTCCTACAGAGAATTGTGTTTAAGACTAAGTGACAGGGGTGGTCTTTCAGGAGCTCAGAAGAAAAACTTTTGCCAAGTTTGTGTGACTGGAGTCAAATCAGGAATATCAGGCATGGCTCCTACCTCTTGCAAAGATGATCTGAGCACGAGATGGTCGGTGGAGCAATGTGCTGCTTCAGTAAAGAGAAGCTCAGGTTTGCTGGGTTGCCTGGTTTTGTACCTTGTCTTCAGCTTTCTGGGGGAATGGCCCAGGTTTCCCTGGAAAGGGTGGAGGAGATTCCTGTGTAGGATAACCTGTAGCTTGGTGAGGGTGCTCCTCAGAGGGGTGAACGTGTGAAGGATATTGAGACCGAGCTGGTGGTCTGTGTGGGGCTGTACCAGTGGGACAGAGGGGAACCTGGCATGGCAGCCCTTCAAGACACCTGCAGAAGCAAAAGTTATCACGTTTCCAGTTTTTGCGAGTAAAATTATTACTTGTCTAAAGTGTATGGGGCTGTTTGGGGCACATCTCGTTCTCCTATTTAAAACTGTAAATCCATTTGTAGATCTGGGTCCTACAGTCTGGCAGAGCTGCTGAAACCGATGAAAATGAAAAGACTTTAGCTTCAGCGAGGAAAAGCATTAAAGCATTATTTTAAACAGCAGACAAAAAAAGGGTTTGCTTCACAAACTTAGTCTTCTGCTATGGATAATTTGAAAATATATTCCATGTGGTGATGTTCTGGTCTAATTTCTTGAAATAAAAATTGTGAAACAAATATCCTGCTTTCTACAGTGTCACTGTAGTTGAAGACCCGGTGTTTATATAGAAATATATTTGTAGCAATTTTAGAAGCACTATTTTTGATGTAATTAAGTATCTTTTTTTCAGCAAATAGGGAAAACATTTAATTCCGTTTTCACCTTGTTTTCCATAATTTTGTTTTCAGCAGAGTCAAAATGTCAGACAAAAGTGATTTAAAAGCAGAACTTGAGCGCAAAAAGCAGCGCTTGGCTCAGATAAGAGAAGAAAAGAAACGGAAGGAGGAAGAAAGGAAGAAGAAAGAGGTAAATATGCAAAAGCGCCTTTTAGATAGCTCATGCTTGCAGAAGGGGCTTGCTGAGGGTTTGACATATCTGCATTGTATACCCTGAGGTATCTGTCATGTGGAATGAGATCCTCAAACCCACATCAGTCTAACCTTAAAATCAAAATGCTTATTTTTAGTCAAGAAAGTTGGGGTGAGGGAATTGCTTTTAAAACCAGCGCACTGTGGGATGACAACAGTTTAGACAACATGATGTGTATGTGTGCGTAGAAAGAAAAATTGATTTGCCACAATGCTTTTTCCTGGGCTCTCCTTCAATGGAAAGGGAGTGGAGAGTGGAGAAAGACAGAAAGAGGGCTTACTTTTTTTTCAAGCCATTACAATCTAAATATGTATTTTTGTCCTCTGAAGACTAGTTTGATTACTAGCTAAGGTAACAGATTTACAATTATTATTCTCCAGTAAAGTAAAACATAATTGCAATTGCATTTTCATCTTCTGGCATGGGTGCATCTTTCACTTCTGTTAAAGTTTGATTGACATATTATTTTATTTGTCCTTGACAATATGCATTAGGTTTTTCATTAAGGGATTTGTACTTCTTTTTATTCAGTCACTTAGTGGAATAGAGGTGAGAATTGACAGGGAGTGGATATTCATTTTCATGCAAAGTCAGAGAAGCATTAAGTGATTATGTTTCCTTTCCTTCAAATGTCAACACTTACCATAGTTTAAAGCACCTGTTATCCTTTACTAATAAGTGGTTTCCTTTTAAACTGACACTTTAATATTGTACATGAATTTCATGGAATTACTGTGGAAATGTGATGTGATCCAAGAAATCAGCATTCTAGTTTTGGCTGTCTTTTTAATCTTTTTTCATTTAAGCCATTTTTGTGCAATTACCAGCACACACCCCCCCAGTGAGGCTCCTGGAGTCACTAGAGGAGTCCTCTGTAAGCAGAACTTTAAACGTTAACATTTTCAGTGTTCATTACTAGCCTGTTAATGAATTAGAGGCAAGGGAGCCAAGCTAATGGCTCGAGAAAGCTATTAAGTCCTTTCCTTTGTCCCCGGCCTCTGATTTTATGCCTCATGGACATCCTGTGGTGGTTGGAACTTTCCATTGGCCCTGAAATACAGATCCAGCTCAGGACACTCAGCTCTACAGATTACGCCGCGGTGCCTAACCGTGGCACCGTAAATGGGGTGCACTGTGATGCCTGATGTCCTCCAGGAGCGAAGTCTCGTGTTCACTTAGGTGCTTAGCCATTTACGCTGGTGCAGAAGAGTTGTACACAACTGTACGTACTGTGAGGTACTTCAGGTTAGCTTGTGGGAAGAGCTGAGTCCAGGAGCATGCCTGAACTTTGTCTTTGTCTGTAAAAGCAATGTTCTTCTGCATCCTGGACATATCCAAACTGGAGAACATGGGGACGCTTCTGAACTCCCAGTTTTTCTGTTGTGCCTGCACCAACATCAACACTAGGCTGAGGCACTGTGCAATCGCCTGTGCCCCACACTCTGGTTTTGGCAGACAGGAAAACCTCTCTGTGTGGAGGCTAGATAGGACCAGCCGATTTAGTAGTGACGTTAGGATCCAAAGTACAGACGCAGATGCCACCAGACATCCTCTATAAGAACTATACTGGGATTGTGCTATTTAAGACATGACAAAATGGTAGACACAACCACTTGGATTTTGTTTTACTTGCATTACTGGTTACTGCACTAGACTACGAAGTGGGATATGGGTTCAGTTCCCTCATCTGCTTGGCAGAAGGGCTGCAAGCCTGTTTCTTTCAAGGGAGTGCCCTAACCACTAGGCTGGGGTGTCAGTGTTTTCCTTCCACCTTACTAAATTGGGGAATGATGAGCCAAACGTAAGGGATTCTGGCTAATACAGATGTTGCTCCTTGTGTTTGTAGGTCCCAGTAGACCAGAGTGGGAGGAGGCTAATGTGTGGAAGCTCCAAGTAGATATAGATATCTAAGCAAAGAGGAAGGGGTCTTGTGGACCATTAGTTTTGGCTGTTAGTGCCCAGGGCTGCCAAAATCCTATTTTAGACATGTTAGTCCTTTCCTTTGCTCCTGTTAGATGTTGACATTTATGAGAAACTATTTTTATTGCCAACAACTGCTTGGGACCAAAGGTAGGCCCTTAAGCTGCATCACTGAAGTCCAATGGAATTTTATTTCTTGATCCTTGAGGAAGTAGGAAGGGGCTTTTTTTATTCAGGGTAATGATATCTGTTATTCTGTGGTCAGCTTTTATATTAGCTGAATAAGCTGTATCCGATGAGTGAGAGGCAGAAGATGTTCATCAGTGTACTGTAAAAATCCTTGCAAATATACATGCAAAGATCAGTTTTCCCATCCATTCAGGGAAAAATATTGTTACTGATATATAGGATATAAATTATCTAAGTTATAAATTATCTAAATGTATCTAAGTGTATTTCAAAGTGTACCTAAGCATATATTTTCCACACACTTAATTGCTAGAGCTGATTATATGCGGATGAAACTTTTCTGGTTTGTTTTGTTTTGACTCAGGCTGATCTACAGCAAAAGAAGGAGCCAGCTCAGGAAGATTCTGACCTAGACCGCAAAAGAAGAGAGACAGAAGCTTTGTTACAGAGCATTGGTATATCCCCAGAACCACCTCTAGGTATTTAAGAGAAGCACACTGTAAAGCATTCAGCTCTGCCACAATGAATGCATTCTTTCTATTAAAGCATGCTTGGCTTTTTTGATTTTTGGCTGTATTAGTGAAGTGAACTCTTCTGTTTGAATGCCTGCCATAACATTCACATATACCAGCTCATGGCATTTTGAGTATTTGTCATTGCCAAAAACATCTGTTTCATTTCTTCAAGAAATTTTTGTGAATGTAATGCAGGTTGGTTTTGCATACCAGCAGTGATTTCTTTTCTGATGGGCTGTTTTACCTTCCCTCAACATCTACATGATGACCCACAAAATAATATTATAAATGCTGTATTTTGTTAGCCCCAAGTTTTGTTTCAAAAATTCAGATTAAGTATTTGCTAAGGAAGGAGGAGCATAGTCATGTGGGAGCTCCCATTGATTTTCTTTTGAAATCAAGCAAAACAGGAGAGGGGAAATAAAAAGACAAATCACAAATAGCAAAAAGCTTATCATCAGATCATTATTGTAGATTGTAGATCTGCTTTCATGTATTCGACCTCTTTTTTGGTTTTAATGTTTCAGTTCGAGAATCTGAAGTCCTCAATTTAAAAATACATGTGGCAAAGTTTATAGTATCTGAATATTGGTTACCTTGAATAAGTTCTGTCTCACTTATCGAGTGGCCCTAAAGTGAGAAATTGCCTACCTTCCTTCCTTCCTTCCTGTCCTTTCTTCTCCCTTGAATCCAGAATCGTTCTCACTATTTTAGCTGAAATATTGGCCCCTCTGGAGATACTATGCCTTGTCACTAAATTAATTGGGGCTGAATCTAGGATTTTACACCTAGATGTTCTTGGCCGTAATACTTAGGAAGAAGTACAAATTTGAAAAAATACTGAAGCCTTGATTTAGAAAAGCACTCTAACAGATGCTTGGGTTCATATGCAAGTAGACTGTGACATTCTGAATTGAGATTTCAATTCATAACTTGCATCAACCAACTTTTGAGACAAGTTACTATTTTCACGAGTTGCCATATAGTGACTGAAGCTTTTAAATACCTCTTCTCAGAAGAACTGTCTGACAAGTAACAGGTTATTTTTAAGTATAATAAAATATTTTTTTAAATTAAGCAGGGATATTATAAAATCAGATAGATTTTTAATGTTCTAGCATTTAAAATACTCATAATTATCTAAAAATGAGTATATATTTCCTTATCATATGATTAACTAAACACATATATTCAGTTGGAAATTATCAGTTCTTATGTTGGTTAATTATTTTGTGTTTGATACCATGAGAAGAACACGAAAATTCACATATAAGATGATTCATTTTAGTTAAACAATAGTATTTTGTCCTCTTTCATTCCATGTATACAGACTCACAATTAATATACAAAGGGGGCTTTAACTCTGCCTTCACATATGCATATGATACCCAGATCCCGCTGTGAATATGGAATACATAAACAGCCACGACATACCTGTAACCTGCCAAAGGGCTGTCACGAAGATGAATTCACTTTTCATGCTGCAGTCATTTCTGTGACAGTCTCTAGTGAGAAGCTGCATGAAATGCTTGACCACATGGAAAATCCAAATCTCTTGACAGGTCTGTCATTATACATTATAGAGCATAACAAAATAGTTTAAAGTTTTACTCCGTTAAATCTATAAAAGGAAATGCACATGATTTAAACCAAATGGGAAACTTTGCTCTTGCATTAAAACCTCTTTTTGTGTTTTATTCAATGTGGCTGCTTTGAAGAATACTTACATTAAATCTTCACTGGAGCCATCTCTGCATTTTAAATATTTTTCAGAAACCATTTTAAAAGAAATCAGGATATTTTTACTTTTTTATTTATTATTTCCTTGCTGAAGAGCTTTAACTCAGGCTGACCTTAAGCTATGAACTTTCTTTCCTGTTTCAGGAAACAAAACTGCCTTTGCATGAAATGTGCTTCAAAGCCCTGGCGAGCCGAAGAGAAAATCATTTCTAGGACTTGGGCAAATATTTTGTAAACCAAGGGAAACTTTTCCTTGAGTGTTGAAATCATGTCCCACCCAAAATGGAAACGTTATATGAATTACTTAAGAAAACACGATGGCTAAGCAAACTAATATGTATTCTCACCATCTTTGGGAAATGATTTTAACTTAGCTGGATTTCCTTATTGAGCTTTTATTTCTGACATCATTGCCACACTGCAGTCTTAGAGCATATCTAATGGACACTGGCTTTTGATTGAAATTAAAAATTTGAAAAGTATGCTTGTTCTATCGCCTACTTGACTTTACCAGAAGAGTTCACTTAGTTTTTTGACAAGACTAGCCCCTGATATTTCTTCATACCTTTAAAATCTTTTGCAAGTCAACCTTAAACTATACCCAAGAAAACAAGTGCTGTTTTATTTCCACAGATATCTCCTCCATTGATTAGCCATAGATTCCCATTGGGCTTTCAGTCCTGTCTAAATTCATGTCAGTTTTAACACTTCCAAAAGACTTAAAATTCACTTGACTCTCTTCCTTTTCTTTTTCTTTCCTTCCTTATTTGCTTTCACCATTTCAAACTCTCCTACTCATTCATCCACTATCATTTTGGTCCATTGGTTTTGATTTGTCTGACACTGCTCTTCATCAGTGCAGTCGCTGCATGTGTTAACATGGGATACCTGTTATTTTCATTATTTAGTCCCAACCCCTATGTCTCCCTCTTCGAAATCAGTGAGCACACCCAGTGACGCAGGCAGCCAGGACTCGGGAGATCTGGGACCCATAGGAAGGTAAGACACAGAGTCAATAGCATGGAATAAATGTGGGGTTTTGTCACTTCACTCTTACTTCCCCATTTTTACCTTTGCTTTTGTATATGAGAACGTGCTGTATCTCACGTGTACTTTCCTTTCTGCATTTTCCACCGTGTGTTACCATCCAGTAAGACTGGTCTCAGATGGGAGGTAAATAAATGCATGCAGCGAGCGGCTCTTAAGCTCTGAGCGACACATCTCATATTGGAAGCAACGGCTGCATTTATGCTTCTAAAATGCCCCACGGAAAGCTGCCATTCTGTGTGGAAATACACTAAAAACAGGGGGAAGTGCCCCGTGGTAGAACCTGTTCCTCACATGAGTTATCTTTGTTCACATAACCAGCCCCTTTGAAGTCCTCCCAGGTGTAACACCAGGCTGCCTCGGGTTCTCGTGTGGCTGCTCATCGCAGTAGGTGCCGTGACAGTGACACTGACAGGGAAGAGCTTCCCCAGAAACAGGCTGAAACGCCCCAGGACCCACTGGCAATTCTGCCTCGGAAACTGCAGATATCAGAGAGTTACATGCAGGATGGGAGGGAAGCAGCTCTCTTCTTGTTGAAAAGTGGTGGTGGGGTGTGTGTAAGGGATGGGCACCAGAGCAACCTTCTGGTCTTTCTTTGTATGGCTGAATTAGGAAACGAAGTGGCAATCCCAAAATAATTCCTACTCTAGAGTAGAAAAGAAAGGAGGAGAATGCTGGTAAAGGAGCATATTTGCAAGTAAGAAGAGATGTAAGCAACTGTACCATATATTTTGAGAAATGTAAAACACAGGTCCTAATAGCTCCTTTTGTATCAAACTAATTCAACATAAAGCTGAGCTGCCAGCTCATCCGAATCTGCGAGCCAAGACTCTGCTAATGGCTTGAAAACACAGTGATTGCTCTCTGCGGTTAACAGTGCTCAGGAGTAGACACTGTACCTCTACAGACATGAACAGTAATGTGACAGAGCTTCAGGTCACCAGCTTTCATACCACACCAGCCTTCTGCCTAGAAAAATCACACTTCTGTGAGCTGAAAATAGATTGTGTCCCCCTTCAGCCGGATGCAGACACCATCCGTTGCGATGTGGAGGTTGCATGGCTGCTGCTGAAGTCAGCTCAGCCTTTCTCCCAGGTCTACACTCTGGAAGAAATGGAGGTGGTTAAGTAGGAAAGCCCTAATCTGCCAGTTCAAAACACAGAAAATAGTGTAATGCTACATTCATAAATAAATGCAGTAGAGTCCAGCAAATTAAAGGACATTGAGCAGAAGAAAAATTGTTTTTAAGCAAAGTGTAGCCTGCTGTTCAGGGTAAAGTTATTTCCCACAGTCCTACATGAAGCTATGACGACGCTGGCTGGAGACTTCTAAATTCCTGGTTTTCTTCTGAACCTTACTAGTGAAACTTTTTTACTGTTAAGGTAGTGAAATGCCCATGGAAGGATTTATTTTACTGTGACCTACTCTAGCACTTTGACACTCTGTCAGCAATGAGCAGTGAAAGCACACGACCACGTGTCCTGACGATGTACTGCGTTGTGGGCTTTTGTTTTGGACCCATTTTCTGGCTGGTTGTGGCCATACAAGGAATTCAGTGGGAATCCCAAGACCTTGTTTGTAGTCCACCAGTTTGCTTGCCATCCTCTCTGGAATCGAAAGGAATGTGTTGTGTGCCGGGAAGGCCACTTGCAGGTGTTTGCCTGGAGTGATTGGTTTGTGGTGATAGAAATCTGATGATGTCTGGTCCAGGCCCTGGGGAATGTCTGTAACCTGTGGATAGTATTGGGTGGCAATTAGTTAAATCAGTTTGCCTCTGGGAGCAGGTAGATGCACTCAGTGTGTGCTTGTGTGAACGAATGCACTCGAGCATGTGCGTGTGATAGAGCAGTCAAACATGGAGAGAAAGATTTTGGCAGAACTATCATCAGAGTGGGTAAACAGGATGAAACCACCTCAGCTGTTTTCTCCCTGAGAGATGCCTAGACTGTATTTGTGACTTATTTTGACTATTGTATATATGAATGCCTGTTTATCTGTATAAGCAAGGTTGCTCTGCTTCATTTTAATGTATCCTTCCATTTCGCTCTCTGTGACAGAAGGCACTTTCCCTGGATCCCCGCTCATGCCATCGTGCTTGTAAGATCTTCCCCTTTCTCCCATTCTGCTGCAAATTTGCTGTACAACGGTAGACTGAGCACAGGCTTTAGAGGAGAGCAGATTAGTTCCAAAGCTGCTAAAGCCCCAGTCTCGGAGATCACAGCTCGTCTGTTGTTGGTGCTGCTAACGCTGCTGCAGCAATAACGAGCTCGCACAGGCTGGCAGAAATCCTGCATGCAGTCTGATTACTTATTGCTGAAGTGTTCTCCAGGGGAAGATATGGATATTAAAAAAAAAAAAAAGGCCGTGAAGTCACATAGATTTTGGGTTCACTACAGGAGAGAGGCCCTGTTGAAAGCTTTGGATAAAGCAAGAGATCTCCGTATGTTCCCATTTGAGGCAGCAGTTTCTGGTGCAGAACTAGGTTGGCTTTGTACTTCTTTGAGTTGTTGGTACTTCTGGTAGCTGTCAGATTTAATATATTGGTCCCAATATCGCCAAGTATATCTGATGTCTGTTTTGATGGGCAAGCACCTGTGATTTCTTACAGAGCGGTGAACGTAGTTTAGCCAGAAATCCAGGTTTCTGACATCCACTTTTCAGGAAGGACAACTGGTAAATTGGTGAGAGTTTGGACAGTGTTAAGTAGTTGTTATGCTGGAACCACAGACCTCAGTCTACCTTACTTTGCCAGATGAAAACTAACTAGTAACTTGCTCACCAAGTGTAACAGTTATATGGGGAGCAAAAGGGCTCCAGCAAGCAATGTGTAAGAGCAGCAAATTGCTTGGCACTGAAGCTGGACAAATACAAAATCAGAAACACTTTGAAAAATTTTAATGGTGAGACAAATTAATCATTAAAGCAATTTACTGAAAGACTCTATTGGATCTTCTATCACTGGACATTTCTCATACAGGATGATGTGCCTGTCCAACAGGCAGGTAGTAGCTCAAACAAGAATTCATTCAGAAAAGTCATACAGCTTTTTTGTTGCATGGGAAGAAAAGCTACATGGTGACAATGGTCCCTTCTGCCATATGATCTATAGACTGGTAGTGCTGCTGTCCTGCAGGACCATTGTCCGTAATCTCCAGCACTATAGCTAGAGCAACATTGTCTTTTCCCTGATGCCTTTAAGCTTATTAGGAGAAGGTGTGGGGCGAACTGTGTAAGAGCACTAAATTATGGAACCATTTCTGTCCTGAGCAGCCTGGGTTTTTATGGGGTATTTTGCTTCTTGATCTTTAGTACCATGGTGCTATCTGTCATAGTCTTTTCACTAGGGATAACACTAGGTTTTTGGGAGCATCTTAGCTTCCCTCTGAGCCATTACAGCTACAGTAAGAATGAGCAGATGTTAGATGAATAACCGTGCTAGAGACTACAGATGGTTTTCTTTGAATGCTTTCACTTGGACAGGAGAGCCAACTCTTTTTTTTTTTGTGTGTGTGTGTGGCCTTGGGGACCAATTCTGGGCAGGCAGAGGCGTGTTATAGTTTGATTCTGGAAGGTTTTGCCATAACTGTGGGCTTAAGATATAGGTTGGGTATGCGCTGCTCTTAGTTATCAGCCTGCTCTGAACAATTCATTAGAGCCCTGTTGTTGCGCAGAGAGCAACTTTGCTGTCTCCACGTTGCTTTCCACAGCCCACTTCACTTTTCTGGTGGCTGTGTTGCTTGTGCTACGCAGATAGGACAGGAAAATAACATCACAGCCTGAAGAGATACTTAATAGATGGGTTATTGGTTCACAGGGCTTTCTGTTATGATGTGTTCAGACGTGTTCAGACATGACTCACTTTCCACAAGACGGTGTTGCAGGATCCCATGAAAGTTCTCCTTGGAATATGGGATAAGTATTTTATGTGAGGACATTGATGCCCAGTGTCCTATTGCTGATGGTCAGCTTATACAAACGTGCACAACTGAAATGTAGATTTCTGCTCACTGGATTTGCATAAATGTTGTGAAGGGGCTGAGGTAAAGGCATTTGCTGAGAGCTGTTCTGTAGCATGGTGTGAAACACAATTTTGCCTCTTTGGGGCAATTAATATGGAGCTTCTTTGTGTTAACTATATGCATCTCAGCTCTCCCCAGCAGATACTCTGAACTTTTGCTACTTTAGTGTGACAGAGAGGACGCTAGCTGTTATAACTGTCATGAAACAGTGCCCATTGAGAGGCATGTTTTACTACTCAACACACCTTACACATTCATAAATCTCATCTTCTCAGCACTCACAGCCATGAACAGCGTGTTTGTGTCATTTGGGAGAGTACAAAAGGACAGACCTCATACAGTGCTTCAGAGCCAGGCAGTGCAATACCGGGTCTTGTGGGCTGAGCCGGGTCTCTGGAAAAGCCGCAGTGTCCTTTCCCAGGTAGAGCCTGAGCACTGGGGTTGGTCTATGCGTTGTATGTCGGCACAATATAAGATAGCAGCAAAGTATCTGTGCTGGAAGGATGCGCTCCTGTGGCTGGGTAGCTTTCATGTGCTAATACTAGCTTGCACTGGTATGTTTTCTTGTATTATCCTCAGGGTGTCCATGTGTTCACCCTTGGAGGAGTTGCGTTTGTGGACCAAGGTGTCATTCATCGGTGTGGCCCCTTTTTTCTCTGTATCCCTCAATGCTTCTGTATGTTCCCAGCTAGCTTTATCACCCTACAATGGTAGGTTTGCACAGTAGCATCCCATTTATTGTTGGGCTGGGTCATTTGTGAGTGCATGCAGTGAAGTGCCATGCATGTGGCACTTCCCTGTGTGCATTTTGTTTTGTAACATGAGAATCCCATTAGGTTGTATATAAGGTTTCCCACCTTCCGTCTGCTTAGTAAACTGCACCAGGCTCAGATGTAAAGGTTAATGGTTGCCGTTCTTTCTGCAACAGCTTCA